GGGGTGGTTGGGGCGGGCGGAGTTCCTCGTAGCTTGCAAGCTTGCGAGCTCGTGCGGACACGGACGCACGCGCACGCGCACACACACTTCCACACTTGTACACTCCACGTTCGCTTACACACACACACACACATGCCAACACGCACCCCCCCGCACACACACACACACACACACACGCACACCATCTGGTACTTGCGCGCGCCGTACGCCTGGCCGCAGAACGTCTCCATCGCCGTCACCACGCCCAGCATCCTGGCAAGGCCGCGAGCAATTGCCCAACAGCAACGGGAGAGGGCCAGGCGGCGCTCAGCGGCGACGGCCGTGGCGACGCAGCACAAGGAGGAGCCCCGGCCTCAGCGCAGGCGCAAAGCGGCACTGCCGCCTGACACCGCGAAAGGGGCCACCCTCGGGCAGGCAGGTCAGTCCAGCGGCGAGGCGTGGCTCATGACCCTGGGGCTTCCGCTGCCAGCTGCACATGGGCGGGAGGCAGGGGCCTCACTACAAGTGATACATTGTTCTTGGAGTCGAAAAACAGGGGCGCCCAGGGGCCAAAGGCAGGGGCGTCCGGGAAAACCAAAAAGCAGGGGCGCGGCTCACGGCGCGTTGCCGGTGACGTTGTAGAGCGTCTGGGCCAGCACGAGCGCCGACAGCTCCAGCGCGCCCAGCCGCCCCACGAACGCGGTTATGATGAGCTCCTTGGTGAAGGTGAGCACTTCCATCCAAGCAAGCGGCCACGCCAGCGCCCACAGGCTGTGTGTGTGTGTGTGTGTGTGTGTGTTTGTGTGTGTGTGTGTGTGTGCGTGCGAGGTGCGGGGATGTGGGGGTGTGTGCCGTGCTCAGCGCAGGGCGCGCTCAGAAGCCTGGCGCGTGCGCCGCCCTTGCTTCCTCATCCGCCTTTCAGATAGACAGCAGCGGTCGACGGGCGGCTGAGCGTGGGCCCTGGACACCAGCAGAGGGAAGGGCCCTGGGCCAGCCCGCCGCCTTGCGTCAGCAGAGGGGCGTCGACAGCTGCTTTCAAAGCGCCCGCACCGTTTGCTGACGTCGCCAAACCCCAGCGACTTGCGCGAGCTATTCCATAGGTGGTCGCCCGCGCCGCCGTTCTCCGTCACGGACGCTGGTATATAGCCGCCGGGGTCGTCGAGGGACGACTTGGCGCGGCGCGACTTGCGGTCGGCGAGCGCATCCGACGCAACCGCTGGCCCCGGCCTGCAATAGTTGCGCATGGGGCCCGTCGTGCAGCGGCATCGATATGCTCGGGCTTTGAGAATTCCCGTACGTGCATGTGTTTAGCATGTGAGAGCTTCAGGCCGCGTTTGCAATAATATTTTCAGATCGCTTGCTCACCCGTCCTTCTCCATGCCCGCCATCCGAATAGGCTGTTATTATACCATGAGAGTCTTTATACAGCGACAAGCTGCCTCTAGACTGCGGCTGGGCCTTCGCAGTGCTCTCAATGCTTGTTTTTATGAGCAGCCGATGGCCTTGGGCTGGGAGAGTATGGTGGTTTCTGATATGGTTTCTGAGGCAACAATGAGGCGATCGGAGCACGAGCGAGGCTCGCAGTGCCATCTGTGGCACCAGCACATGGGAAGCGCGCACCTGGCACGCACCTGGCCCGCATGTGCGTAGTCAACGCCAACAATCAAGTTGGTCAAGCGGAGCCCCCGCCAAAAACTGAGCATGCCGCACAGCAGTTGGTGAGTCCAGCTCCCTTGCGGTTGGACAAAGGAACTACAGCGCGTGCCCATGTCCACGCCACAGCGCCCGCATGGCCGTCAAATCCAGTGCACACACAGGCACTTGCCCTCCCTGGAGTCCCTTCTCCGCCCCTGCTGAGGCACCCACCCAGGACCTCGCGCTGACCGAAAACATAACAAATTACTCTGTGTGTTTCCCGCTAGACGTCTGCGTGGTGCGGTCGTGCGGCAAGCGATCAAAACGTGCTGGAAAAATGCAAGTGGATTATGAGATGGCGCAGTTCTTTTGTGCGGCAGCCGCCAAGCTGCCGCCGCCGTCGACCCGCAGCCGCCGCAGGGTATGCGTGCGGGTCGTCACTTCCGGCCAATGCAGCCCCCAAAGCACCTCGCGAGGAACTCTGGTCCACCTGCAGCGGTTGTATTAAGCGGGAACAGGCATGGGGCACGAAAATGTTTGAAGCATCGCCACCATCACACGTGCCCTGCGGCCCCTTTGCACCCTGCCACGCCTTGGCACGGCTCGAAAAGCTGCTGCCGCCACGGCAGCCCGCACGTCGATGCTGCTGCCCGAGCCCGGCACCCACGCGCGGCCCAGTCACCTGGAATGTACGTAGCACAGTACCTAGGGGGGCGAGGGCGGCGAGTGCAGCCGTCAGAGCTCCGCCATGGGCATCAATTTGAGGGCCTCTGTGCCTGCAGCAGCTCGTTCTCCTCCACAAACGCTCCGCCCCTTCTCCGATTTGCACCCCCAGCACTCCTCGCCTTCGCCGCCCATGACGCCGCCGAACGGCAAGACTCGGTCGTCCTCCGCCGGCCCAGCATCCGTTCTCTTCAACGCCCGGCGCAGGCATGCACAACCAGGCGCCCGGCGCCGTCCTCACCAGATCATGGCCATGAATTGTATGACCAACAATATGATGACCAGGATGCCGCCCAGCAGCCCCTTTACAGTGAATGCGACCGCCAGGGTTGCTGCGCGGGTGGCGGCCAGCGGGGGCGCGGGAGGTGGGCCGGGAGCGGTCCGGAGCCGCGGGAAGACGCGTGATCGCCGCGCCGCCCGCCGCCCCACGTCCCTGTTGCGGCCGGCCGGCCGCTGCGCATGCGGCGCCGCGCCGCCACCGCTGCCCCTGGCTGGCTTCGCCTGACGGCGAGCCGCCCGCTCACCGCCAATCGAGACAAGGTAGACGATAGATGCTAGCCAGCGGCCGTGGTCCATCATCCGCTTCATCTGCTTGCAGGGGCCCATCAGGAACATCGTGCTGCGCGGCGCCACAGGATTGCACAGGGGCCCACAAGAATGAGCGCAGCGGGTCAGGGCGCCGCATCACGGAAGAGCGACCTGTCTTATCGGCTTGCTTCCTCCCTGCAGTCGCAACATCCCTGCGTTGGATGCTGTTTGGTGCCGAACACTTCAAAACCGGGGCAACAGCTGCGGTTGATGGTGACGCGTTGTCGTCAGTGGAGTGGCTGCCCACCTCATAAGGGACAGGACGGATCCAAAGGAATAGAGCACGGCAAAGCTAGTGATCTGGAAGGTCCACAGGAACATCAGCGACTGGCGGCGCGGCACGGGAGGGGAAGGAGGCCAGGGCGGGGGAACGGGGCGGGAGTCGGGGCAATACATGGGCCGCGACCTCTGCGCACCAAAAGCAACCCCGCCGGCCCGCCCAGGGGCCGGCTACCAAAAGGACTTAGTCGTGCGCACGACGCCCCTCGCGGGCGCCGCTGCTCTGATGCGGCATCAACGCAGTTGGCGAACCGGCGCACGCAGCCGGGCGGAGGGGCGCGGCGGCAGCGGCCGTCCCGCGGCCGGGGCGCTGGGCGCACGATTGTGGGAAACAGGGGGCCCCGTAATGCTCACCAAGAAGCTAAAAAGCAGGCCAACACCCAAGCAAATCCCAAAGCCGATCGCCCGCTGCTTCCAGGTCAGCTCCGGCGTGTGCTGCTCGATCGCTGCCGTCGCGTTTTGGATCAGCTGCTGCGGCAGCGTGGGCGGGGGCGGCGGCGGCCCCATGCCCATCTTGGACTTGAGGTTGTCCCACACGCCCATGATTGTTGCCGCTGCTGCTGCTGGTGCCGCGTGCGGTGCTGGATTGCTGGTGAGCTAGCGGGGGACTGATGCTGCAGGTGGGTGCCCTGCACTGGCGCGCCGATGCCCTTCGCACACGCGGGTGTCGCTGCCGCGTCGGCAGTAACTCAGATAGGTGTGATAGTTTTCCTCAAGAACGCAGCAAACGCAAGCGGGCTCAAATGAGTTGGCAGGTTTGGTTGAATTGATGTGGATCGGAACGATTGAGTCTGCTGGGAATGCCAGGATGTTTGAAGAATTAGCCACCTGTTTTTCCACAGGTTGGGGGAACCGACGACCTCGCTCTTGGCGATCTAAGACGACCGGTGAGCAGTGACCATGACACAAGCAGCTTGTATCCCGGCAGCACTTAATGGCGCAATTCTACGGGGTCATGGGCATTTTAACACCCTACTCATCTTTCCTGGCTCTTCGGGCATGCCCTTGGGCAACGCAGACGCCGATGGGCTTTCCTGCAGTGGTGGTCTGTCGACCCCAAAATCGCACGGGCCAAGCATGGTTGCACTAGCCACCCACAACCGCGCAGTACCCAGGCTACATGAAGCCTTTGGAGATTGATTTTGGGTGCTTAGCTTGCAAAAGGGCCATTTATCTGCAGCCCAGAAGCGCAGCACGCTGTCAGCCGTTGCGGACGTGGCGCCTTTGTGCCGCCGCACCGGGCACCGGGCGTGCCCAGCCTTGGCGGAATGCCTCGTCTCAAATTTGCGTTCCACCATGATTTGCTCCATGGCTTTGAAACATGGGTCCCCACCGTTCAATGAACCGTCAGAGCTTCTGAGCTCCTCAAGGCCCCCAGTGGATTGACTTGCGGCATAAAACAACCAATCACACACCCAGCTGTGCCTATCGCACCTGCTCCTTCACCTCATACCTCGAATCCAGCAAAGCGCAGGACAAATGCCATCTGCGTCGCCCCCCCGCGAGACGGATGTTACACTGCTAGCAGAGAACTACAGGAGACCGTCTCAGTACCCCGTGTTCAGACTGAAAAGAGAGGAAGCTCTGGTGGGCTTTGATCGGGGTCATACCGTTTCCCCGGCCGCATGGTGTTGGGGCCACCGCTATAGGAGCTGGAATACTGTGTTCAAGCACTTCTATACCCCTGCAGCTCGTGGGAGGGACAGGCGGGGGAGTTCTCCCCGTTGCATTCACATCCACCACGGCCAATCAGTCAGTGACCTGGGCCGAAACCCGAAAAAGCGCTCCTTGTATGGACCGGATTTCCACCTATTTCGCCTCACTGGCCGCCGGGGCGCCGCTGCCGTCACAGGGCCAGCACGACCTTCGCGGCCCGCAAAGTGCCAGACGGCCGCCGATCCAAGGGTGGGAGCTCCTGAGACTCCTGATACTCCCACGCCCTTGCCATTCCCAACCCTTCGTTGTCTGTATGCATCACCAACTCGTTGCTTTCAACACCACCACCATAGGCTGACCTGGCGCTGATCAAAAAACTGGTGCGCGAGGCCAAGGCCAAGGCCCTCGACTCCAGCAGCAGCAGGAGCGCCGACTCGCCGCGCGCGCAGGCGTGACATGCGCCGCGCGTGCGCGGCCGGCGGCGCGTCGGACGTCCACCAGCGCCTGCGATGGCAGTGGTGTCCACGGAGCACGCGGTCCGTGCAAGCCTGGGCAGCTGCAGCGCGGCCGCAGCCGACCTCCTTCGGCGGCCCGCATGGTCCCATGCGGCCCGCCGCGCCACGTCCCGGCCAGGCCGCTCGTGCCGCCTGCAAGGCCGGGCTCGGGCGCTCTTGTTTTGCCCTCCCTCAGCAGAAGACCGTCAGCAGAAGACCGTGATTGCTGTATTGTTGAGAGCGGCGGCGGGCTGTCGCCCAACCCCGACGTCTTTATCACAGAGAGCGCGGCATGGCAGCCACTCTGCCGCAAAGGGCGGCCGCCTTCGGCGCAGACCCTGCCACAACATACAGCTGCGAGGCCTGCAGGGCCCGCGGCAGTTTTCTCTGCAGGCAGGACCGCTTGTTGGCAGGGGGGCCGTGCAGATGCGCGCCTCGTGCGGGACGCGCTCCGCTCAGCATACGTCCGAGGCAGCCAGGAGCGCAGGGGCGCGATTCGCCCCACGCCTTGCCAAACCGTCCGTTGTGAGGGTGCAGCCATGCATGCCGGCCCGCTGGCGCGCTCGTGCAGCAGGACACGCGCCCCGGTCGCTGTCGGCGGGGGCTCTGCCCCCTTTTTCGCACGTCGGCGGCGCGGCCTATGCAGGCGTTGAACCATAGCAGTCTCGCAGCGACCCCAGCGATGCCAGCAAGCGCATGCCCATTCGCCACTCTGTGTGTGTAGGTCCCCGTGCGTGCTTGTGTGTGTGTGTGTGTGTGTGTGTGGTTACCTGGCGTTCCTGCTTCTCATTACGTGATGAGGCAGCCAACACACTCCTTTACGCGGTGCTGCCTTCAATGCCCACCCGCGCTAGTGGTCCCAACGGTCTGGTGCGCCCCGCTCGCGCGGTTTTGCCCTCTCTTCTTGCAGCGCCGCTACGGCAAAGGGCAACCCAAATCGGCTTTCATGCGGCAGGCACACCCAGTCACACCTGTGTGTCTGTGCGTGTGTTACATGCTTCCGCCAATGAGGATCCCACAACTTTATCTCATGCATTGTGACGCGGCCCTGCGCGCGGACGCAAGCGTTCGCTGCCACACACTCTCATTCTTTTGCGCCTTGCATTGGAAGCTCGGGGCGTGCGCTCACATGGGTCATTGGTACCCCTTTACAACCCATGTGCCCGCAAATACGCACCGCGTCCCGCCCGTTCTTGCCACATATTCGCAAGGCGCTGGCGCTATGCACAGAGTGCTGTAATAAATCTGCGGCCACGAAGCAAACTGCGGGCTTCTCCGCCGCGGACGGCCCTCCCCGCGCGCCCCGCGACGGGTGCGTCGCTGGCGCCACGCGCCGCCGCGGGTGCGATGCCTCATGCCTGGAAGGGCCCACTCAAGCACGGCGGTCAGCCGCCCGCTCTTGGGGAGCCCGCTGATGCGCCCCACCCCCCAGCCTGGCAGCACCGCCTCAACTAGCTCTGACAGGGTGGGAAGCAGCTGGCAAATTGAAGAGCCAGGCTACTGCATGGGCGTCGGGGGAGCTGAGGGCCCAGCGACACGGCTGGGGGTGCACGCTGGGGGGGCAGCTGGCTGTCGCCAGGGGCCCACGGGTGCCCGCACGTGCGCGCCGTGCGTGCAGCCTCTCGGCGAGCCAACAGGGCAGCAAGCAGCCATTGCCCGCCCCCTCAGCTCAGTTTTGAATGCTACAGCAAACCCCGGGACCTGTCGAGGCCAGAGCAGGGCGGCGGCGGGGAGCCGTGCGCCGAGGCATCCCGCTGCAGCAGCATCCGACGCGCCGCGTGCGCCGCGGCTGCCGCGGCTGCTGCAGCCGTGCCGTTCTATCACGACACCACATCGAGGCCGGCCGCCATGGCTGTTGGGTGGCTTAGATTGAACTGCTAGCGCAGATAATCGGCCGCCGTTGTTGGCGTTGGAACAGGCTTGGTAGGCAGGGCAAGTTGGAGACCAGCGTGGCCCCTCCTGATTGGCAAAAGTTTGACCCTGGGTTTTCCAGATGTCCAGTAGGGCGGTGCGCAAGAGACAGCCTGTGTGCTGAGCCGGCCTGAGATGCTGCTCTCAAGCTGCAAGCAACCAGCAGGCCCCGGCAACGCATGGTTCCATGGCTCTCACGCAGGCGTTGTGAGGTTTTGGGGGCGGCAAAATCACTGGCTCTGCTTGCCACTGGGGGGGCCGCAATGTGGCAAGCACGCACGCCCTTGACACACGGCGCAACCAACACATTCTCAGCTCAGCTTGTCCCCTACCCTCTATACGAGCCATGGCCCTGTACAAGAAACGCCTCAAAGGGCGCGCGGGCATGCTGCTGTCTCCGAGACAGTGTGTGTCTCCGAGACAGTGTGAGTCACACATCATCAAGCATACATGTGAAGGTTGCAGCTTGGCCGCACAACATTCCTATGTACGATGTGGATGGCCTGTAAGTGACAGGAGCTGCGGCCTCCATGCTGTAGCACCGTCGGCGCTGCGCACAGCATTGATGGGGCCGCCACAGGTACATGTAAACATACTCCAACCACCTAGTCGTAGTCGGCCGTCACCAGTGTCGTGCCATGGCAAGTGTGCGGCAAGCAGCAGAGTGCTCAAAGCGAGTAGGTATTTTTACTCGCACATCATGCTGCATACATGTGTATACGATCCTCCCGCGCCTGAGCGGCGGCGGCCATGCGCACGGCTGTTCTCGTGTCGCCCTGCGGCCCAAAAGCACCGGGGTGATGACGGCAGCATCTGACCAGGTCGACTTTGGTTGGCGAGGGCAGCATAAAATAACACGCAATTGATTATTTTTGTATCAACCATTCTGTGTGTGATACGCCCGATCCACAGAACGCGGGACCTTCATTTGCAAGTTGATCAGCGAGATGTCTCGGTGTCGGCCAGGTTTCGGCCGAAACTCAGACTAGCAAGCAATGTCTCCTCTCTTAACCAGATCTCATACGTCGGAGCAGCGAGTCACTACTAGGGCAAACCGCTCGCCGCGTCAAGCTTAGCTTGCCACACGCGCCGCGTCTGAAGAATTTCGACTAGACAATGCGCCACGATCACGCTGGCTGGCCCCCCCGCCGAGCCCCCGGCGCCGCTGGCGCGCCCACGCCCGGCCTGCTCTTGCTGAGCGCACTGCTGCTCGCGGCGCTCGCCGCCGCGCTGCCGGCGACGCCCGCGGGCATCCACTCGGATCCCGCAGCAGCAAACGCAGCCGTCAGCAGCGGCGGCGGCATACCAAAGCTGATACACCAGTCGTGGAAGACCCGGGAGCTCCCACCCCAGTTCCAATCGTATGCGGTGAGCGGGCGCCAGCTGGCGGTGCCATCGGGCCGCGACGCAGCCAATCGCACGCCTGCGCGGCCGAGGGGCTCCCAAGCCGCGCCTCGGCGGGTAGCACAGGGCCCGGGCGTCCCCGTTAGCATCCACGTCAATGGGGCGGCACATCCGCACGGCCATGGCACTGCTCGCGAATGATCATGCACGCTACACGGTCATGCGCACCCGCATGCGAGCGGGGCAGGCGACCTGGCGGGAGCTCCACCCGAGCTGGCGGTACACCCTATGGACCGACGACGACAATCGGCGGCTGGTGGGTTGGGTTTGACACATCCATCATCCAATGTATGCAAGTTCCCAGGATGTTTATGAATGATCGCTGCCGGGAATGCGACCAGCTGGCCGAGCAGCACAGCCAACAAGCCGCGGGCCCGCGCCGCCGGCCGCGCCTCCGCCTCATTCGGCGGCGCGCGCGGCGAGCAGCGAGCGGCGCGGCGTCGCGGACCGCCCAGCAGCCGTGCGCGCGTGGGGCGCCTCGGCAGCAGCTGGGCAGGCGCGGCGGGACGCGCGCTTCAACGCCAGAGAGGGGCTGCGGCGCGCGCGGGCGGCCCGGCACACGGCATCCCAGACCTGCAGCGCACCACCGTGATGCAGCTGCGCCACGCCGAGCCGCGCCTACCCGAATCCACAAGGCACACCGCAACCCAGCCCCAGGCTCTCTGTCCCCCCCCACCCCCCTGCCCGCGCCCTTGTTTAGCGCCGGGCTTGCTTGAGATCCGTTTCCCGCCTCTGTGCAATTCATTTGCACACCCACCCAGGCTGCGACCCACTTCCCCTGGTTCCTGGAGACCTACAACTCATTCGAATCAGAGATCATGCGCGCGGACACGGTGGGCGCACGCGCAGAGGCCTCACACCCCTCCGCACGACGGCCCGCCCAAGCCGGCCCGGGCTGGCCTGGGGCCCGGCGCGTCGGCTATCTCGGCGAGCGGCAGCCGTGCTCAGGACGGGCGGTGGGCGAGGGGCGAGGGGCCTGATTTGGCGACAGGATCCATTCGGCCAAAATCTCTGGGGCTCGACACCTAAACAACACCCAACACACACAACAATGACACAACAACACGTCGCCCGACTGCATGGGGCGCCGTTCTTTTTGCCGCAGGCGCGCTACATGTACATGCACGTGCTTGGCGGGGTATACGCTGACCTGGGTGAGTCATCGTTTGACTTTTTGTCTGTGGACTTGCTCGCACCTCCGAGCGGGCTTCAGAATGATAACCCTGTACATATGGAGTCAGGGCTCATGCGACAAAATCCACCTTGAGCCAGCTGGGTGCGCCCCGCCCCCGCCGCGGCCCACGGGGGCGGCTTTGCGCTGCCCGCACTGGACCCCGCGCCCTCAGCGGGGGAAGCGCTTTCCGACGCGCTGCGCGTTGCTGCCACGCGCACCGGGGCAGCCCCCACCCCCTCACCTTCTCCTTTTGCCTGCCGCCCAGCCGACCGCTGTATCCGCCACGAACCATATCACCCATCGCGCCAGACACCAGCCCCACTCGTCATCCCCTCACCCGCTGGCGCCGCCCCGGCCCCGCCGTGCCCTTGCTGCAGACCTGGAGTGCCTCCGCCCCTTGGACTCCCTCCTCGGACCCGTCAACGCGACCGCCTCGGGATCCTCAAAACCCGTCGCCGTGGTGGCCTTGATGGGTGATGACCTGTCATTCGGCCACAACGTGCCCAACGCCTTCCTGGCGGCCGCGCCGGGCCACCCCCTGTGGGTGGAAGTCCTGCGGGCGGTGCAGGCGGCGGCGGCGGACAAGGGGCCAGGGGACTGGGTCGAGGACGTGAGCGGATGGCTGGTTTTTTGGGGTTTGGGGCCGGGGCGCTAGCTAGCTGGCTGGCTGCATGCGGTGTGGCAGGT